ATATTTGGGGCTCTGTATATCAGTGGAATTACACAAGTCTAGTTCAAATCCTGGCTCTATGACCTTCGTTGTCAGGTTATTAGAAACGTCCATTTATCCCTCTAAATCGGTTTGCTTCCCTACACAATGTCTGTTCACGTCCTATTTTGCATGACTGCTATCAGATTACAGAGATATAAAAAACACCTGAATGTTGCAGTTGTTCCTGTTGATTTTAGAAATAGTCTAGATTTAACTAACCCATCTTATGACCAGTATTGCAATCTGATATTTCAACAATCCATCAGGATGAAGGTCCATTATTGCTCTTGAGAATTAAATGAGATGACATAGTGTTTAGCATATATTAAGTGCTCAATAAATGATATCTATTACTATTTCTATGCCATGGTGTTTCCCAAAATATTTTTGTTAGTAATGTAATAATATGAAGCTGTTAAACTGGTTAGAATTGACATTTTATGGGAAATTAAAAGGCTTGAAGAATAGGGTTATCTTTAAGGAAGAGATAAAACCTATTCATACAGCCTTTGATATCACCACTCTATTTATATAATAAAACATTGTGTTACTGGATATCAGTGTTACAAGGGATAGACTCTGAGATGGCTATTATTGATTCTTTCTTGTAAAGGTTGTTACATTCTACTTTGTCCACGTGTTCCCTGAGTAATCACAAGCTCTGCAGTGAGGTAGCATTGTAGATCATATCTGCTACATCAGACTCATCTTGAGGCATTCGTGTGGTGGGTACCTTGACTTGATCCCATCTCAGTAATAGCTATAATTCAGTAGTTCAGAGGATTGACATGTGTCATTTGACAGTTATCAGTGGTGAAGCCACCCTTCACCCATTTATGGTCCCTAATTGATACTCACATAGCTTCATATTTTTGAGCTTAGTCTTTGGGGGAAATGCCTACAAACTGCTACATCTGAATTGTGCCTAACATGAAATTTCCAGGTGAAAATATTGGCTTCATTGTTTATTGGGTAGAAATAGGAAGTTGAGCTTGAAAGACCCAATTTAGAAACCTAGTACCTATTTCGGTCTGAACTTTGACTTCCTTCAGAGACTAGGAATAACAAGACCTTCAGAGGAAAGTTATTATGAGGTTGAAATGAGATATTAGAGGCTAAAATACTGGCAGGTTATCTGTAAACTTCGTTTCTACTCCATCCCTATCCCCATCCCCTTTGCTCTGTTCAACCTTTCTCCCCTCTTTGTTCTCCCATTCTCTAGCTTCCTCCTTCCCTCCTCCATCTTCTCCCCTTCTAAGTGTTTCTTTCAGTCAGCTAACAGAATTGTATTATTACTTAATCTCAAACAGATTGAGTAAAACAAAAATGTATTTGAATAAATTTGTTTTCCTATACAAATATAAGTCCTTTCAATACATGCCATTCTTGAATCACATTTCAGGTGATTAGCAACTTGAAACGATTTCAGAGTACCTTAATCATGGAATTAATCCTAATAATTTATTCCTTGTGCATTGAGTACAAGTAATGCTAGCATCGTCCTGTAGTTAATCTCTGAAAGTTAAATGTGCACTGTATATTTAGTATGTGTGTGTATGTGTATGCACACACACCTGCATCTTTATAGTGAAAACTTGTTTCAGGAAAAAGCACTTAAATTTTTAAGGGTAATCATTAATTTGATTAGAGAAAAGTTGACGGTGGTTTCGTGGTGTTTCCTCCTACTCTCTTAAATGTGGGTTCCTTGGAATCATTTTCTAAGCAAAGACTTCATTTCTTATTCCGAAGGGAAAATAGCAGTTTCTTTCAATGGAAACTATTACAATGAGCTATTGGTAACTAGCATCATAAAAGAACTCAACACATTGTAATTTACTGAAGAGTATTTATCTTGTGTCAGTAAAGGTATTCCAGTATCTAACTAGACAAGATAATTAGGTAAAATTACACACCAGGCAAACTGAATTGTAGGCATAGAAGAATAAATAGATGTATAAGGGAAAAAGTAATATGGATTGAGAGAGACCAGATTCAGAATCAAGTCAAACACAGATGAAGTAAATAAACTGTTATGATTGTTGTCCATTTGTAGATGTCTGTCTTGAATATTCTGTTTTTTTGGAATGTTGGGAATGAAATAACAGGAGAACTTTTAGATTATTGTTGCTTAGAGAGAGAACTAATATCTATTACAGAAAGAATCCTGGTTTTGAAGTTGTTGTTAGTATGGATGGTCAACCTTCAAGGATCAATGGTTGTTGTGATGTCGTGAGCAAACACACACTTTGAGTCTAGACAGATTGGAATGCTTGGATTTAAGCAAGGCACTTAACCTATCTGAATGGCATTTTCTCATTTATAGGTTGATAATTACCCAACTTTAACTTATTAGCATAGCGTAATCAACTTAATAAATGCAACTGTTTTCCTTCATCTATTCTATACCTTGCTCTGCTTGCAAATATCTGTCAATTAGTCATTTTAATGGGGTTGTGTAGTTTTCTTATTTACCTACTATAACTGAATTGTTTTCAGACCTTGTTTTGAAGGAACATCAGAAATTTTGTTGAGTCCCTTTTCTATTCCGGTGTACATACAGTGTCTTTCAGAGATGATGTGTGTACTTTAGTGGTAATGATATCTTTTGACCAGCCAGCCATTTACACCCATCGTTCTGTGCTTCACTCCTCTTAACAGTGCCAAGCTCAAGTACTTCCTCTGTTGCCATTAACTTTACCTCCTCTGAAGTCATAGCTTTTAGTGATCCTACTCTTAATTGGAATATAATTTTGTACCCTTTATCAACCGATGCTGTTGTTTTTGTATTAACATTTAACTACCAACTAGATTTTCAAACTTGGATGAAATTTTTTTGCTATAAATGTTTCTATCCTTTCCAGAGTGTCCTTTCCTTGTATATGAAGGATACCTAATTTTGTGTTCACCTACCCATCTATTTGGTGTTTGTAGACATGTATTGAAGGTTTCCTGAGTCTCCCACACTGGACCTGGGTAATATGATCTGTGCCATCAAGCAGCACTCAGTCTAGTGGGGGAGACAGATAGGGTAATCAATAGTTACAATGTGCTTCGAGCACCATAGTAGAAAGATTCTCAGCATGTGCCAGTTGCGTAAAAGAGGCTGCCAGGGACATTTTTATAGACTAGGGACATATTTATAGATACAGATATTTTTCATAAATGTTTAAATTGTGTCTTAATGCAGAAAAAAAGATTTTTCTTGAAGTAAAAAGATCATTAATTACTTGATATTTTGGCTTTGTAGATTGTTCCTTTTATCCCAAGTATTATTACACTCTCATTAAAGTTTTAAAGCAGAATTTATTTTACCTTTATCTATAATACCCAAAGCATATGCCATTTGGTATGTTGTGAAAACGGAAACTCCAGTAAAGACATTGCTTTAAAATGAATGAGCCATAGCCTTGTCGCTACCAGAGGCCTCACTTGCTCCACATCTTTTCCCTCCTGTGTGGGAGCCTGAAAGTCGGGCATTTCTGGTAGTGTGGAGGGCTGTTGATACTGACGGCCCCCTACAACTGGAGAATGTGAGACTCATCCTGCCTAGGACACTAGGCTTGTACTAGATTCAAGGCTTCTGTCCAGGGAGAAACATAGGGTCAAAATTAACTCTGCCCCTCCCTCCGAAAAATATTCTTATCCTAGTAGTTTTAACCCTAAATAAGTCTCTCTCTCTCTCTTTTTTTTTTAATGGTAGGTTTTGAGCTCAGGGCTCAAAGAGAACATGGGACAGTGCGAGTCTAAGGACTGAGGCTTTAAGAGTTAAGCTAATGCAATTATTAGACACGGCTGCTGTGGTTTGCAAGTCTGAGCACCTAGGCTTTATGAAAGCTAAAGAGAGAACATGGGCCAGTGCGAGTCTAAGGAAAGAGACTTTAAAGAACAAAAAGAAAGACTTTAGAAGCAAGATTTTAAAGAAATATTTTAGAAGTAAGACCTTAAAGAATAGAGAAGAAAAGAAGCAAAGTGAAAGAAGAGAATAATAGAGTAAAAAAGCAATGAGGCTGTTGTGCATCTCCATCCAAGTGTCCAGCACACCTGACCCCAACTTTATGCATGTCTGTCTATCGTTTGTTCTTTCTGCATCTCCCATCGCCCCCAGTTAGCCCAGTTAGCCCAGTTAGTTTCAGTAATAACAAGGGAGTGAGAAAAAGCTCGCTCCTTGGAACCACAAACCTCTTCCCAATCTTAGCCTCCGGTGTATCTTGGGACAACAGGCACCCATCACTGTGCTTACCTATTGGTTGAGATGGGAGTCTCACGAACTTTTTGCTCAGGCTGGCCTCAAACCATCATCCTTCCACTGTCAGCCTACCAGATAGCTAGGATTCCAGGCATAAACTTAAATAATTCTTCTTAAAAATTACATTAGACATTTAAGTTAGTATCAAAATATGAAAATAATGTCTTATTCAAGGGGCATTCCTATAGGTAATTCAAAGTACATTTATTCTTTTCTGCTTTTATCTGGACACAGTATAAAACTGAGGTTTATTGAATATCAATTCATGAATCTTGAATGTAAATCTTATGCCTAAATGTTTGGGGTCTTTTTCTTCTCCTCACCGTTTCCTGAATTGCTGAAATAATAATCTTGTTTATAACATTTCTGTGCAGCAGCACAGATTTACATTTTTCTTGTGACATGAATAAATGATTTAGAGTGGAAGTGGGATGATCTGGGCTCGTTTCCTGGCTGGGAAACATGGGACAACTCTTCCAGCTGCAGGAGTGCCTACTTTAAGGGTTGGGGACCCACCTGAAATAATGTGAAAACTATATAGTGCAAGAGTGGGCATCTAACCCACACTTGTTTTCCTCTGTGTAAGCTGTCTGGATCCTGGTGGTTCAATACCTTTGATAACTAGGAAGAAGGGCTCTTTAAGAACTAGCCTTTCTTCCTGGGTTTCAAAAAGATCATGCTGTTCAATAAAGGAACCAAATCCTAATGCAGTTTCTTTGGCTCTTAATTTCAGTTTGTCCACAGGAGAAATTGAAAAGCGAGCCCAAGCCCTTCATCTCTTTGAGACTTTGAAGACTGATCCTGAAACCTTTCACAAGCACATGGTCAGGTATATTTACCCCACTATTGGTGGCCTTGATCATGAAAGGCTGCTGTATTATTTCACTCTTCTGGAAAGCTGTGGCTGTTCGGACTTTGAGAAACCTGCCATTTTGCCAGAAACCCACATTCGACTGCTGAAGAAATTCAAAGTAGTTGCACCAGGTGGGATGCTCATTTACCTGCTCAGACTCATTCATTCCAAAATGAAGCTAGGGAGTAATATTCTGAGCACAGTTGTGTTCATATATTATGATTGGCATTGATCTGAAATCACAGAACTTTGAAGCCAGTTGACTAGTTACTTACTATCTTTCCAACTCCTCCACTGACAGTTCAGTGAATTAGAGATAAGAAAAAGTGAGAAACCTATTGAGCACCACACAGTGACTACTGGTAGCCTAGTACTAAAAGCCAGCTTTGACCGACTGCTCCAGAGATTTTTCCCTACTCTCACTGGTCATATTCTAAATATGTAAATGACAAGGCCAAGACACTTAACACTAGGCAATTTGGCTGAATTTTACTTTGGTGGAGCCTATCTATTTAAAATGTGCATGAAACACTTAAAATAAGAGCCTTTTCACCTTTGATAAATTATGGAAATCTTTACATGGCATCCTTATGATCATAACTGAGAAATTAAAGATGTACATCTTAAATTGCTAAAATGCTTTATCATTTACATGGCAATTTCAACTCTATATTCATTTGGTATTCATAGCAGTTGTGAGAGTGTAGTTCAGTTGATCAGTTGTTTACTCAGTGGTGAGAAGTAAGGTTCAATAACTGCCTTAAAGTAGCTGGTGAAATGCTAGCTAAGTAGCTACTGAATATGAGGCAGTTTGGCGAGTGCACAGATAGAGGAAGACAGAGGTGCTGTGGATGATTAAAGAGGCAAGGAGATACTGTCTTCCCTAGAATCCAGATGAGGAAACTGAGGAACGTAGAAGTTGAATGACCTGCCTAGGATTGCACAGCTGATTAAGGTTCATGCTGAGACTAGGACTCTGATCTTGTGAATGAAAACCTAAACTGTCTAGAATAGATTGGTAGATCTTTTCATTTAGCCATGCAGAGGGCTGTGTGTGTTTGAGGGCACCTGCATGTTTACATTGAGATGAACCACTTACCTACTATTTTTTTTCTTTTCTTCCCAATAGGTCTTAATTATAAAAAGTTGACGGATGAAAGCACAAGTCCACTTGAAGCATTGGAGCCAGTGCTTTCAAGTCAAAATATCTTATCTATTTCCAAACTTGCTCCCAAAATCCCTAAAAAGGATGGACAGATGCTTTCCCCAAGCTCTCTGTACACTGTTTGGTTACAAAAGTTGTTCTGGACTGGAGACCCTCACCTCTTCAAGCAGGTCCCAGAGTCTTCCCTAGAATGTCTTCGTGCCTATGATGTCTGCATGAAGTATTTTGACCGCCTTGACCCGGGTGACCTCATCACTATGGTGGATGCAATTACATTTTCTCCAAAAGCTGTGAGCAAGGTAACTCGAAGAGTAGTTCCAAGTAGAATGCTTTTGAAAAAAATGGAAATTGCTTATAGTCTACAGACTTTTTTTTTTTGGTTTGGTTGGATATTATTTTGGCAGTACTAGGATTTTTAACTCAGGCCCTTGGGCTTGCTAGGCAGGTGGTCTAGCACGCGAGCCACATTTCCAGCCCTTTTTGCTTTTGGAGATACCATCTCATTTATGCCTAGGCTGGCCTGAACTGCGATTTTCCTATTTATACTTCCTGCACAGCGAAGGTGACAGGCATGTGCCACCATCCCCAGCTTTTTACTGGATGAGATGGCATTTTGTGCACTTTTTGTAGAGGCTGACCTCAAAACTCCTGATCTCCGCTTCTCGAGTAGCTAGGATCATAGGTGTGAGCCACCATGCCCTGCCTAGGTTTGTTTTTATTTCCTTTCTTGAAGTGGAAAACAATTATGTCTTTGACATTTCTTTTTGGGTGGGGGGGCTAAGGTGGATGTGTCTTAGTTTCTATCATGTTCTTCTGTTGACTATGCGCAAATAGTAAAAGTCATGTGCCTGCTCATTTGCATGTACGTTTTGTACATTATAGTTCTCTTGAATATGTCACTTTATGGTAAATACACCATCCTATTCTTCCACTCACCAAGGGTAAAGAAACTCCATTGCCCATCCCACCTTACCTTTATCCAGAACCTGGCTAGCAATTTGGCTGTGGAGAAATTGATCCCTTAAAAAATTTCACCTTAATTTACGCAGTGTATAACTTGGTGATAGAATTATCCATGAGCCTGCACGTCACATTTTCTTTTTTTTTATTATTGTTTTATTATTCATATGTGCATGCAATGCTTGGGTCATTTCTCCCCTCTGCCCCCACCCCCTCCCTTACCACCCACTCCGCCCCCTCCCTCTCCCCCCCACCCCCTCAATACCCAGCAGAAACTATTTTGCCCTTATCTCTAATTTTGTTGAAGAGAGAGTATAAGCAATAATAGGAAGGAACAAGGGTTTTTGCTAGTTGAGATAAGGATAGCTATACAGGGAGTTGACTCATATTAATTTCCTGTGCGTGTGTGTTACCTTCTAGGTTAATTCTTTTTGATCTAACCTTTTCTCTAGTTCCTGGTCCCCTTCTCCTATTGGCCTCAGTTGCTTTTAAGGTATCTGCTTTAGTTTCTCTGCACGTCACATTTTCTAATGCTCTGTACTTTGTTGTGAGCCCTTTGACTCCATCTTGATACCTGTTCTCAAGTCTTCAGAAATGTGTAGCTTCACTCATACCCAGATACCACTGCTAAGCAAATAACAGTTTCCCCCTGCTTATACCCAGGACTCTGTCTCATAGAAAATCTCTGTCTGTACTGAAAAACTCTTTTGTCTTTGGAGGCCCCTTTTTGTCTCCTCTTGCCTGTCTTGACTGCTGCCTTCTCCTTGCCCTAAGTCAGCAAGTTTGCCCAGTGTCTTCTCTCAAATGTTTTTGTTATGGCTAATATCATCCTGCAAATGGGATAGTTGCAAAGACTTGCAAGCAACTCCTTTAGCGGTGGTATAGGTAGAGGTTCAAACTTCCGTGGAGGATGCTAGATTTTGCTCTACTCATAGATACCCAATGGCTTCTTCATTTTCTTCTTATTGCAACCCAAGTAATTTGAATAATAACTTGGTTTTAAATTTTATGACCACAGCTATAAAAAGGAGACAACCATCTTAATTGTTTTAAAAAGAAAATAAGGACAATTCTAAAGGAAGATAACATGATATATTTGAAAACAGCATAAGTTTGGAATTGTAGATGTCTGACTTAGAACTCTGAACCTGCTCCTCATCAACCCTGTGGTATAGTATCCTCAAGAATCTCTGTTAGATTTCTGCCTCCTTGGACTGAGAAAACAGTGAGGGAGAAATTTTCTTACTGATTTTTAGGCAAAGCAAAGTTGATAATGAGGAGCCACCATGTAAGCTCGAAGAGATTTACTCCATCGCCTTTTCTTCTAGCCACTTACTTAACTGAGCTGCCTCTGAGAGGTCAGCACAAAGTATCTTTAAGTATTTCAGACCCACAGAAGCAGACTGTCCTGGGCAGTGTCCACAGCAGGGCTATATCTAAATGAAAAAGTCCAAGAAGGTTGTAATCTCTGGGAAGGAACTGGGCCACTTGGGGAATTTGAAATTCAAGGAAGTGGCTCCAGAGCTGGGACCTAGGTACTGGCTGAAGGGCTAGACAAGCAAGATCAGCCAAGACCATAAAGGAACCTTTTTTCCAAGGTAGTCCCCTAGCCCACCCTCAGGCTGAAGCGGGTTTTAGATGTTTTATGTGAGGGCAGGAATTGTCAGCCCAACTGTATGCTAATTGTGAGCATTCAGGTGGAGGTATCTTGTCTAAGCAGTTTTAGACCTTCCAGCAGCAGTTTTTACTCTTGGTGAAGTTCGAGTGGCATCTAGAGTTCACGTAGTTTCATCTGCTATTTATGATGTTTATGTCTGATGTTTAAATTATAGCCAATGCTCATCACCTGAGCTAATCTTACTTGTATGCTTTCAAGATGTCTGCCAAGCATCTGAAAATATATGGCACAATTGTTTGTGCTCATGTGTGTATTTTTCTGAACAAAAGATGCAGAGCTGACTTGATAGAGTCTCTCAATGGTTGGATTTCTTCCTCTTAGCTCATATGCTATAATATAAGCATAGAAATTTCTTTCTTGTAGACCGTTATTGAGAGCTGGTTTTCTACCAAGTCAGACAAATTAGAGAGGTGAAACAGCTACATTTAAAATTAATTTTATATATTTAGTCTACCTACAGTATTTTTCCTCTTTTATTAATTGGCAAGCTTTTCATTTTCTGATCAGAGGGGAAAAGTATAAAGTTTAGATTAAGTGCATGTTTGTAACTACACGATGCTGTCCTAGAGAGAGAGGGTGTAAAAATCAAAGTGAAACATAGCCTACACATGTCAGAGGACACATTTGGAAGAGGAAATGCAGCTGGATTTGCCCAAATTTGCAAAACACCAGATGTTCCCACAGCTTGTACATGATGTTAAAAATGTAAAATAAGTGTGTGCTATTCATACACAGTGTGCTGTTTTCAAATATGTACCCACATTTAACTCAAAACCAAATTTTTAGAAAGAACTGGTAAGCTTATTCTAGAGTGCATAACAAACACAGTAAACAATTGTTCAGATACTAGAATTCAAACAGAAATATCTCAAAGCCTGCATTTTGTACCCAGTCTGTGGTAAATATTCCAGGGGAGGTGCTGCACTCCTGGTAACTATCATTGAGTTAACATTTGCATCAGCTGAATTCATAAAATTCCGTAGAAAATATTTACAATTGGTATTATGTCATGTAGGAAGAGACTGAATTTGCATGACATTGGAGATGATCAATATGCAGAAGGGAAATGGCTTAAAATGTTTAAAGTTAATTTGCTGCAAATTTAAATTGTTTTATTTGGCTGAGTCAGGTTAGAGTTGCTCTTATAGTGCTTGTGCAGCTCAGCAATTAGGAATATTTTCATTAAATGGAGAAAGAGTAAATTAGTGGGTTAGAATCCAGGAAACTGGTAAAAAAAAAAATTAAAGGCAGCTTGACTGCTGATACAGCTATATCTTGTAGGTAAGTGCATAGACATTACTACTGTCATTTATGAAATGCTGTCAAGAAGTTTGATAGAATCCTTCTTTAAAGACCCTCAGGTCAACTTGGTACAGTAGCCAGCTAATGTAACCCCAGTTACTCAGGATGTAGAGATCAGGAAGATTGGGATTCGAGGCCAGCTGAGACAAAAAGGTGGCAAAACCCCATCTTCAATCATTAAACCAAGCATGGTAGTACACACCTGTGATCCCAGATACAAGGGAGGCCAAAGGTAGAAGGATCACAGTCTAAGGACGACCTGGGCAAAAACATGTCACCCTAACTGAAAAACAACTAAAGTGCAAAAGGGCTGGGAGTGTGGCTCAAGAGGAGAGCATCTGCCTAGCAATTGCAGTGCCAAGTTCAAACCCTAACACCACAAAAACAAAACAAAGCAAAACAAAACAAAAACCCACCTTAGGTGATCATAGGATTTGAAAAGGCTTCAAGCATCTTTACCAGTGCCTCTCAATCTGGAATTAGACAGGCATTTCCCAACCCCTCATTCCACCCCACAGCTTCCCTCTGTTGTAGCTCCTGCCATTTCTGATTCATTGCAGTTGTAAACCACTGTTTCTCATGGGGATATAGGTTCTCTCTCTCCCTCTCTCTCTCTCTCCCTCTCTCTCTCTCTTTCTCCCCCCCCCCCCCCACTTTCCTTCCTCTCTCCCTCTCTACTGGGATCAAACCCAGGGGCTCCACTCATGCTAGTATTCTGTCTCTTTTGAGTTGGAACACAAAAAAATGTTGAAATTCTCTCATCTAGCCCATGCTGTGACCTTCAGACTTCTGTCTATCACTTCTGTTGATAATTAAGCTGCTACCCTCTGTCTCTCACCTCCTGCCATCTCTTTTTTTGTTTGTACTTTTTGATTCTTCCTCTGGAGCTATGAAAACACCATAAGGGCATCTCTACTTCATAGTGATTATTTAAATTCTTGAAAGAAGTTACTGCTTCTTCCCTTATCATATTTTCAAAACTATTTGGCATAGAAAATTTAAGAGTAAACTTACCTTAAATACTAAAAATAAAATAAAATTTTTTTCTCAAGTTTAAGTCTAAATTAGAAGAAGGGTCTCTATAGTGCTAGTGCTATCTTGTACCTAAGGACAGCAGACATCTTTTACCATAGTGTAGTGCCTGAGTCCTATGTAATATGTTGAAAGTGTATTAAAATGGAACATGTAAAAATGTTGAGATGGAGTATGTTACCTAACTTCTTGAAATACTATTTGACTTCCTGATGCATGAATGAAAAGGGTTTTCTATAGGTTCAGATGGAACCATGAAATATTTAGGCTTAGCTATGTGCCATCCATGGTATTAGCTGCCAGAGGTGATATCAAGCTGCAAAGGAT